ACCAATGAGATGGTGAGTTTCCCTGGAGAACTACATGTAACAACAACGTTCGAGGCAGAAAAAAGTTTGCTTTTGATATCTAATAAAGGACATATCCTTTTATTATACAAGAAACATGAAGTCGGTCAAGTTACTGTCGCTCATCTTCCGCCTTGGGTCCATCAAGCAAAGAAAAACAGAATCGACGAGTTTTCCAGCAAGATATATCATTTTTTTTGAATAGTTTAAGAGTGCGTTGTCGCATTCTTTGACTTTACACGAACCAACGTAAAATTTTCACCCTCATATCAGGGTGTTCTAGTCGAGTAAAGTTCAAGTTTCAGGCCAACCTGGTCAGTATTTTAATTTTCTTCAGGCACATAGTCCTTCATCTTCCGTTTCACATCGGCTAAAAAGGAATCAGCAGATGCAATGATAGCATCAGAATTTTCTTCATGATGACGGGTCACTAGTGTCGTGAGTTTTTGCGAACAAATACGGTGACAATCTTTGAAGACTCGCTGCTAATATTCAGATGCTTCAAATGTAAGAACAGAATCTTCAGCAGCTTTTTGAAGTGCCCATCGTTTCAGATCCCGATCGTGGACAGAGAGAAGAGCGTCTCGAAGTTCTTCAAAATTGTCATCAACAAAGTCATCGATAACCTGTATCTTCGCTCGGTTTTTACCACCTTGTTCAATGTAATGACGAGAGCAGGCAAGATATTGTCATGAGTAAAAGATGTGAACCGATGCTCTGTCGACTTTCACCTGTATTTTGTTCTGCCTTTCGAATCACGCTCATCGTAATAATCAATAACTTTTTTCATGTAGTTGAGACTGAAGTTCAGTTTAATCGGAGGCTTTTCAGCTTCCGCAGTCTCATCAAAGCTAGGATCAAGATTTTCATTTTCAGAAGCAGTACTTTCATTTTCAAAGTCACTAAATTCTTCGTCATCATCGTAATCAAGGGTCAAGTCTGAATCGATTTCGAACGATGCACACTTGCAAACATTGTCAATTACTTTTAACAATGAACTATTTATATCTTCCTCCCGTGAATTTGTTTGGGATCGTCAACGGTGTGGTTCTTCATTTTCAGTCTCCGATCAACTAAAAGCTTCGCAATTCTCACAAGACTAATCATTCTTCTGGTTACATAGTTGAGTGAAAAATAAAGTATCTTACTACGAAGACTCATGCGAACCGCGTGTATCACAACATACTGTTACTTATTACAATAACCATAACGCAGTCTCTATCATATGCGACAGCAGAACGTGATGAAATGTGTGTAATACGCATTTCTTTCTATTTCTCACCGTCAAGCAGATGTATCTGTCACGATGTTTTGGTTTATGAAAACATTATTGTAAGCTAGATACATGAAGCAAAAGTCTGTGAACCTCATGATAATATGCTGATGATCAGAAAAATTTATCCGAAAAATTTTAGTTTGTAATACGTTTTCGTTCGTGGTATGATGCAGTGATATACGGTCAAAAACGCTGTATTACCTAAGAACTGGAAAATTCAATATCTCAAGACAAAAAGGCCATGGGGCAGAATCCTTCTAGGATTATTCTAGCCTAGAGGTCCTCTCGATATTCCCCAAACATGAGTTCAAAAGCGGTGAATCGTTTCGAACTATTCTCTCGGTAGTTGCTACTAGATACTGGATGCAAACTTAATGATTCTGCACTAATATCTACTGATTCGTGTTCTATGAACACCAATCATCATTCATCTTAGACACAATCGGATTGCATACCTCATTCAGAATACAATCCAATCGGACCGGCACCTAATCGGCGATTGAGTCCTGGCCAGACTGTACTAGTGTTTACCTAAATTTAGTTAGTCAAAAAAGGTCACGAAAAATTTATGGTGGAATCATCAATTTTGTGTCGTGAGCGGTCAGTCTTCAATTAAATGCAAACCACTTACCACTTACCGGTAAGTGGTAAGTGGTAAGTGATTACCACTTACCGGTAAGTGGTAAGTGGTAAGTGGTGAAGATTACTATGCAAGAATACATAATCAATAATTAAAATAATTATTTATCAGTGCTATACCGATAATTTTTCGATGATTCAAACACTTACCACTTACCTGGTAAGTGGAAGTGATGGTAAGTGGTAAGTGTGACACCCCTAATACTTAGGTGAGGGTGAGTATGGGTGCGTATTCGTCTATCAGTAAATTGACTCTAGTTCCTTCAAAGACTTATGAAAACAGGATTTACTATATATCATTCGACGCGCCTTCAAAAGCTCTACAACATTGTATATTTGGTTTTTCATTTCTGATTAGGTTACCTTATCCGACAAGGCTCTTTAAAACCGTTCTACGAACTTTTGGTTTGCCCTAAGTATGTAATATTATAATTTGTATTCTTTTCATATTACATGTACATTTTTTTTGAAAATTCTGAACTGTCTTTCTTTTTGATTATATTATTAATTTAGTTTTGTATAATTTAATTGATAAGACAGATAAACTATAGTTCCCAATTAATTTTATTCATTGAAAGATAGATATTAATGAACATCTAAACATCAATTCGTACAGTTATTGTTCGATCACTGATGAATTCAAATGAATTGATATTTAAATAAATGTTTGATATTTTTTTATTTTCAAGCCAACATGTCGAACCAATTTGAAGTGGACATTTAAATGTAACTTGAATAGTACAAGCAAAAACAAGTGAACGTAAATCATCATAAACAATACGTTCATGTCGTCGACAAGATAAATTTTCCATTAACAGAAATTTTTCAAGATTATTATTATTATTATCATATTTAATTGATATATTTGCTTGTTGAATAATATCATTTATTTTTTTATTATATAATATTAAATCACTATTTGAATTATAATAAATAATTGTTTCAAAACCAAGTACAAGTTTTGTACCATTTTTTAAATTTGATTGATTATCAAATGAATAAAATTCTGTATGATTAAACCATTGAAATGAATGTATTGTTTCAATAATAATTATTCCAAGGCCATAACTTGTTGGATTACCTGCATATACATATATACCTGCTATATTTTCTACAGTTTGTTTTGATAATAATGTTCCATGACATTTATCATAGATATTTGATGGAATATTAGGATTAAGTTGATCTTCATATAGATAATTATCAACTCGTTTGTTTATATTTTGCTTAAATAAATGGCGATTTCGATGAGTTATATTATTTCGATCATCATATAACGGAATTTCGATTTCATGATCCAAATGAATGATTTCAATATGTGGTTCTTGACTTATATTGTTGATTTCAGAAACTGCTTTAAGCCATACTATAGCTTGATCCACTGTTAACATGGATAGATCGGTTTCAGCTCCATGAATACAAACTTTAAAACTATGAAATGTCCAAAAGAGAAGAAAAATGACGAGTATCATCATGATATATTTCACAAAATAAATTGCTTTTTGCCATTTAATATGAAGCTTTTTTTGTTATTTAATACCTTAATCGACCTTATTAGTCTTGGAATTAAAAAAATATGATATTTTTCTTTTTCTTTTTCCATATTATACGTATTCTTCAGTTACAAAGAATCCTATAAAGCATATTGAATAAAATTCCAGAGTGAAAAATAAAATAAACGCATTTTGTTAAATCAAAATTTCAAACAAAAAAAAAAAAGACCATCAAACATTATGTACATAGACATGACCAGACTCAAAAAAACAAATAGTATATGATGCAAAAATTATCATGTACAAATAAATATCGATGTTTTAAATCTTATTTAAAAAAAGTACACTCTGGAAAGAAAGCCTTCTTTTTGTTCTATCAATTCATAGAAAATGTTGTCTTGTTTCAAATCGTTTATATGTTATTTTTCTTACATATTCATGCACAAAAATGATGAACAAAGAAAGTGACATAACTATAAAATGAGTTCACACTAGAAATATGAGGAACTATGAGAAAAAAGTTTTTCGAGATTGGAACTGAAGTTTATAGTAAAATATTGCATGGTTTATAAAGCAAATTATCTCAACGAGTAAACAACTGAAACCAGATTTTTTCGATTTTTTTTTGTCGACTTTAGATAAAAAAAAAATCAGTGAAATCAAAAGCTTTACTTCTGTATAATTATTATGGTAGGTCTTCATTATCTAAAAGTACGAATCGTCTTCTTTTAACAAATACGTTCGAACTAAAGACATCAATTATAAGAAACATACTTCAAATCAAGGCACAAAATATTCAAAATCAAAATTTTTTGGCATCAGTGATTTTTTTTTTTTATTTAAAATCGATAAAAAAGTCATCAATTTCCTCTTTAGGTTATCTTAAAAAATCATATGAATCAGAAAATAATTAAAGAGAGATTACCGAAAAAAAAATGCTACCTATCGACTAAATAAATCAAATAACATGAGTAGTAGGAAATTATTTTAGATATGATACGAATAAATCCTGAAATAATTTCTCTAGATTAAAGGCCGAAAAAACTAAATCACTAAGACTACTAGAAAAAAATTGCTGGAATCGAATCCGAACTATTACCAAAAAAAAAAAAACTTAGTCTTTCATATATATAGTCTACACTTTTATAGAGAATTTACAATACAAAATAAGAAACTTGTCTATCTGTTCAATAAGAATGTATATTAATAAGAATGTTGTTCTATTCTTTTGAATTGTATATCATATAATTCTATTATATCTGCATAAGCGTAGTGATATTTATTTCATTGTAACTAATTTTTATTTTATAAGATCCTTTTCTTTTTATCAGCCTATATAATAAAAACGCAATTTTCTTTTATGAATATTTCTCTTTGTTCTAATATCATTTTGTTTATGAATGTGTAATGAAAAACAAACTTATATATAGTTCAAAAGCGAAGAAAATCTTCCTATCGAATCATTTCAAGAAACTTCTTTTCAGAAGTTGTTCAACGATGAATTATAAACATCGACTTTTTTTTTGTATTGAACGATTACTTTTGCATCGTATAGTATTTGTTGAAATAAAAATTTAATTTTCGTTTCGAGGTAATATTTTTGGTGGTGAACTCATTTCTATAACTTCTGTTATTGATGCAAGTGGTAAATATTCATCATTATTATTTTCGATTAAGCAATCATTATCAACATCCATGTCATTTAGAGTAGACTGAAATAGAAATAATAATAATAATAAACAAAAGAAAATATTAAGATAGATATATTACTGATTGTGCTGAATATGGACTACTTGTATTTATTGAACCACTTGATATTGTCTCATGTCGAACAGATCCGTCGTATCCATTTAGACTTGTTATTTTGAATATTTTTCCATTAGCAACCTAGGATATATATTATTTATACTAATTATTAACATGAGATTGAATATTCTACTTGTTGATATTTAAGATTTTGTTGATATTTCCAACAACTATATACAAAAAAAAATATTATAAAATAAAATAAAAATTTATTGAATTACTTACTAAAAGCCAATACCAAGAATAATGAATAAAATTAAGATTACAATAATTATAATGAAGATAAAATAATTTTGATTATAAAGAAAATCTTTAATGAAATAAAAAAAAATGTTCATTTTTCTTTTATGTAAATAAATTTATTTAATATCTTACTGAATTTACTCAACGTTTTAATTTCTTGACATTCTTCCATACCATCTGGATCAGTATAGGTTTGTCGACATTTCATACATACACGATAGACAGAATCAGATAGAAGTTTATCAATTATAATAGTATTTCGATTTGCTTCAACTATTGTCCATGTCTAAATAGGAAATTATTTTAAATAAAATGGTCGTTTTTTTATTATTATTATTGAATTTTAATTTTAATTTACTCGATTGATATTTGAACCTAGTTTTGGTATAATACTTTTATCACAAAATGCTGCTGGAGATATAGATGCAAGTTTAATTTGAATTTCACTTGATGATATTGCTTGTAAAGTAAATTTTGGTGTTATTCGAAAAACTAAATGAATATATAATTTTAAATTAATTAATTTTATATGTTTGTCTGAATGGGATATTTTTTATTTTAACAAAAGAGAAAATGTTACTGATTTAGTAGAAATCAATATTTTATAGGAAAATAGTCAAAATAGGATTAATACAATGATTGTTATGTGAATGAAATTTCAAAGAGTTCAAGTTCTTTATTGGAAGACAATTAGGATGTTTCTTTTCGATACTGCTAACGAGGAAACTAACTGAATTTTGTAGCTCGCTGTTTAAGCTTATATATGAGCTTATAAAGAAATCTCAGTAGGACTAGAAAAAGCTCAATAGGGCTCACGGTTCTTTGAAGCTATGTTATGATCATTTTACTGCATTTTTCGATCCATATTTAGATATTTACTGGAAAATCCAATGATTGAATTTGGACCGAAAATTTAGATCATAGATAAGTCTAATGATCTTTAGAATATCCTGAAAGTCTTTAACCGAAAACAAAGTTTTTTTTTGTCGAGATATTGAATTTCCAAGTAAACTCAATTTTCATGACTATTTTTTTAGAAATTCAAAATTTCATGATTTGTTTTTGTGTCAACAAGTCCCTAAAAAATGAGTCGAATATTAAGTAAAACAATCATAATTTAGATTAGAAGCTCATGACCAAGAACACTTTTATGTCTTTCCTAGTCTTATTAAATATGAATTCCGACGATAGATCACAGTTCGGATAATTTTCTCGTTAGTATAAAACGATTCTTTTCCAACATACTTCAATTAGAAAAGAAATGTAATTTGAGAAATTGTTTACACAACATCAGAAGCTTCGCTTGAACAATCTTGACAAAAATTTGCGTAGTATTATATTTAGTTAGAAGAGATTCTTTATGTTATGCGAAGAAAATTTATGCATTTCTCACTGTTTCAAAAATTTTTTCTCTTGGGAAAGTGTCCTATTATCATCACAGCTTAATTTAAACTGAAACGTTCCACTCCGATTGATAGATTTTATTTTCGTTAAGAACAAGAAATAGTTAACAAAGAGTACAAAAAGCATCTGTCGCCTATAGTAAAGTAACCTCAATTAAGAAATAAGTTATGAAAAATTTATTTTCAATAATTATAAACTTTTATTCTTATTGATGACTGTTGATTCTTAATGCTGATTTTTTAGACAGTCAATAAAGAACGAAATGTTCGCCACGGCTATTATTTAATACTTTCTCATTCGACAAAATCAATCAAAGCTTTTAAATTTATCTCTATTGTAAATATTTAAAAGCGAGCTGTATTTGTTTTTTTTTTCTCTCATACATCATATAGCCTATTGTTGTTTTTTATAAGCAGCACATGTTACCAATAAATCTATCAAATACATTTTTATTCACCATAAAAGATATCTTTCTTTTTTTTTTGTATATATGACTTACTCGGTGTCATATCAAAATTATAAGATGAGACATTAAAATGAGGTAATATTGCTTTCATATGCATTCGAACTTTATCTGGAAATTCTCCATCTGCAGTTGGTCTCCATTTAAATGTTAAATATTCATTTGTACTTTCATTTTTTAAGAATTCAAAACGTGTTATATAAGCTAAATTATCATGACTAGCAAAATGAAAAACAAAACGAAAATATTTTTCATATGTTATCGTTCAGAACTTACGAATGACTGATTTCATTAAATTCAAATTTAGCTGGATAATCATTTTGAATAGCACGTGCTATAGTTGGTGCTCGAATCCGACATTTAATATATTGTTTATCATAGACTCGACATCGCTCGATGAGTTGAAGTACACCTGGCGCAGCTGAAAAAGACATTTTTTTTTTGTTTTCTTTTTATCGTGTATATATTCAAATAGAGAAAGAAAAAAAAGAAAATATATTATATATATATATTTATTTATATTTATATGGTCATGTAAATGATATGAATATAAAAACAATGTTGTTACTTTACCTTTGACAATAACATCAGCACGAGTGCCTTTAGTTTGTTCGCCATTAACATAACATAATAAATGAAAAATTCCAACGTAATTTTTTGCTTCAAGTCGAATATTAATTGTATTTTTGTTTAATATATTAGTAGTTATCTTAATTTCATTGGATGAAATTATTTTTGATAAATTTACTTTTAATGGTTTCTCATTTGATTCATAATTTGTACAATTAAAATTAGTAGTACTTGTTGAATCTATGACAGCTAAACCAGGTTCTAGGAGAAAAAAAAACAGAAATATATTCAAGGTTAATATGAAAAAAAAAACATTTATACCTATTTCAATATTCGATAGGCGAGATTTCAATATCGGTGTTTGTGTATAACACAAGTTTATTAAAGTGAATAAGATAAAAACAAATGTTAATCGGTATTGTCTCTGTTGAGTGTGTAACATTTTTTACAGTAAGAAAAGCAAACAAAAAATCGTCCGTCGTGTAGTACTCCTCACCTATTTCTTCGTGACTGAAAAGAAAAAAAAACTGAATATGTTTATTACTTTAACGCAATTTCTGCTGTGAAATAAGTGGAACGGACGCATTTTTTTAACAGGTAGAAAGATGTCTCTGTGAAAAGAAAAATATTATATATTGAAATGGATGAAAAATATATGAAAAGATAATATTAATGTGATAGATGACAAAATTGCTTATGTTTAATCATGCTTGTTTATTTTCAATCAATAGAGTACCTATCAAGATTCATGTATATATTTACGCAAAAGCATGTTTCGCGTCAAAAATGCACCCGTAAATGTCATACTGCTGAGCATAATTTTCGAATATTCGAAGAAATGGAAAGAAGAAAAAAAGGAATATAAAAAATTTATTTCTTTTTGCTTGAATAAAGAACAACACCCAGATCAAAAATGTTTTTTTATGATGAGGCATGCATATCTTAACCGAGTCAGGTCAATTTCAAGGTAAAAAAATATGATAGTAGCTTCAATTTTTAAATACGAATAATGATTATACTAACATATTTAGTGTGTATGCAACAAAGTTTTCTTATGAGTAACTAAAAATTTTATTCAAACTATTTCACAAAGTCGATATCGGAAACTACTCTAAAACCATGGTCAGATAGATTTTTTTGTCATCTTCTGCTGCTTTTTATGATATCATATCTAATCTTAAATTATGCTAGTTTTTGTCATATGTGTTGTAGAAACAAAAGAGGTTACTAGTGTAAACTTTATAAAATGTGAAACATGAAAGACTAAATATAAGCAAGTACCAAAATCACCAACGAATCAGCATATGAAAATAAAAACAAATCAAAATACTATTATTCACAAAAAAAACTTGATTTTGAATAAAAAGAAGCAAAATGAATATTTACTTTAAACTTTCCATACGTTCTGTTTAGTAGCATTGTGAATCACTTAGTCAAACAGAATGCATGTTTACTTATGAAAAATGCATTTCAAAGAAAAACATCTTGATTCTATTTGTTACGTCTCATAGAGTTTTGCTATGCTTCTGTCAAACACAAGTATATCTCTCACACTCATCAACTAATAAAATGATTTTCTCAGTACTTTTCTTTCAAGAAAGAAATGGAATATAAAATCCTGATGATTTTTTATTCGATTTCTTATATTAAATCGATATGTAAATCAATGGAGAGGCCGTTCGTAGCAGCTAAAACTTTTGCAGAACTTTTTCAAGGATTTTTTTTCTTTCTTTTTATTTTCAAGGTCTATTTAAATAAAAAAAGAGAAAAATACGCTCAAATTATGACCTTAGAGGTCGAAGACTAAAAATAAATTTCTATGTATTATTTTTTTGCCTTGACACCAACTAACATTTTCAACAATTGCATGCAGCAATCGTAATAGCAACAGCTCAATCGATTAGCTTAGTCTGCTATATACAAACCACTCGCTATGCATTGTTGTTTAAATTAAATCTGCGTCATTCAAATAAGGTTACTTTTTTTTTCTTTTCTTCATATTATAAAGAAAAGAGAAAAACTGCAGTTTTCTCTTAACTTAAAAGAAGAGTAGAAGTAAAACAAAACAAAAAGCTTATATTGATAGTTGAAAATTTCAAGACATCACACAGAATACAATAAAAAACATCACTATATAATAAATACAAGTTATTATTTTAGATTCTTGAATCAAAAATAAAGATAGCCGATCAGATGATATATTATTTTGTCTTGATTTTATCATTAATTTATCATTGTTATATCTTGTGGTATAATCTGGATAATGTATGCAATAATAAGAAAATATTTAAAATGTATATAAAGATACAAAAATTGAAAAGAATAACAATTTACTTTAGATGGACTCCAAATAGTATTATTAAGAGGTTTGAATAAAAGAGTATCTCGATCATCGTTTATTTTTCCCTATAATAATGAAATAGTTTTCTAAATAAGTAATTTAATTCTTATAAACAAGAAAAAACTTACAGAACATTGACTTTTTAGTTGCTGTTGTTGTCTGATGCAATTACAATTACTTTTTATTTTTAATCTATGAAAAACTGAGATTAAGCATTAAGAGATAAATCTTTGAAATACTTACAATAAGAAGATAATAAAGAGTAAGAAATAAAGCATGATTATTATAATAATTATAATACTATTCATAGGCAAACTTAGATAAAAATTTTTATAAAAAAAAATGCGCAAAAAACATAAAGAAGAACAGCACTTGATGGCTTTAAAGTTCGATATTTATTACATTTCACATCGCTGATTGTATCTAACGGTGCATGATGACGACAATGAAAACATAGTCGGTACAAAGTATTAGGACGTAAATCAGTCGCATAAATAGTCTTTGATTAAAATCATTTAATGTTCTAATATGTTCTCTCTTGTATTAAAAAAAAAAGAAAGCAGAATCACAATTATAATTTTCAAAAGATAAACTTTGCTTGATTTGAACTTTGAAAATTTTCATCTATTGTTAAATTTCCTTGACAAAATATTAATGATGAAAATTTTTTTCGATTAAATTCAATTCACATATCAATAGATGATATCATTTCAACAGTAAAATGCGATGATATTCGAAAAACTATTTTTGATCAAAAAGCAAAATACTTATCAATTGTTTTTCTTCTATTTCAAAATAAAACTCTTACTTAGTGTCATATTCGTTGTATAATTAGTTGTACCAAAATGAACTATTGTTCCATATATAACCATTTTTATACCTGATGGAAAATATCCAGCAACTTTTGGAAACCATCGAAATGTCAGAGTTTCATTAATATTATCAATTTTGACTAATTCAGGTTGTTCTTGATACACTCTGGGTTGTAAACTAAATAAAAAAACAAAAAAAAAAAAGAATGAAAAATTTTACAAAAAAATCTATTAACTATAAACGACGTTCAATAAAAAGAAATTTATAAGTTAATCGATTATTCATTGCTTGTAGCATAATTGGTGCTCTAATGGCACAAACGATATATTCATCATAATATACAACACAACGGTCTACGCACATAAATAAACCAGACGATTCTTTAAGATATAAAATGATTAAGAGAAATCTAATCCAATAATATATATATATCTTACTGCCAATAATAATATCTGAACAAGTACCAATATCTATTCTTCTCGTTGATAAACAAATAAGATGAAATGCACCTATATAATTAAATAATTGCAAAAGTATTTCAATAGCTGTCTTATTCAATCTATTAGTAAATATTTGTATATATTGTGAAGAAATATTAGATGATAAAATAACATTCATGTCGATCTCTCTATGAGAAGACTGTTATTTATATAGTGGCGAGTTGGGCATATATGTATTTACTGCCAAAGAACAAAGTGACAAAAAAAAACAAAACAATTAAATACAATAAAAATAAAGTTAAAGATATTCTTTTATAGTCATTTTTGAGCACTTTAAACGCAGTTGTAAGTTGAGAGAATAAATTGGCACGATGGTGGAATAATAAAGAAAATGTTCACCAGCAGTGCTAACATTGTATAAATGAAGAGTCACAGCAGCGTCCAGCCTAAAATAAAAAAGTTGTGCTGGACATGCCGTGGCGAATCGCCGATTGGGTCACGTACTTCAGCTTAAATATAAACGGAAAGAGATAGACCAGCTGTATGTGCCATGGTTTCAGGCCGTTGGGTCACAAGTACAGCTTAATCTACTCTACATGTTGAATGCAAAGACGTCCACCACGAGGAATTTGCCTTTTCGGCTTTGGTGTCACTTGACACAACTGTTGTGCCTTTTCGGCTTTGCTGCCACTTGCCACAGCTGTTGTGCCTTTTCGACTCTGGTGTGACTTGACACGACTAGTTTGCATTTTGTATGTTAAATTCACCTTTATTCGGGATAAACTATGTAGGATCAGCTATATACTATTTATAATGGGAAATGGGTGGGCGGGTATTGAAAAGTTAACTTGAATAAATGTTGAAGTTTTAACCAATTAAACAGGATTATATGAATAGCTTTTCACTGACTTAGAGCACGAGAAGATGATAATGAAATAACAACTTAGCTACACATGATAATGAACTTCCAGCTGAAACGAGCGCTATATTGAATAATAGAACAGATAATTAAAAAAAAAATAGTCGAGCCTACATGAATCTTCTTTAATGCCTCGTTATCTCGCCATTAAAGAGTTATCAAAATCACGATAATCATCTTTTTCTTTTGTACATATGAACTTTATTGTGCTAGTTGCATTTAATATTACAATTTTAGGTTTTATTACAAAAAAAAATGAATCGAATAATTCATTTGTTATCAAAATGATCATTTTAGCCTACTTATGTCTACACTTGAATTACTACAAACGCTCGATTCATATAGTATGAATATTAATAATAAAATAGTAATCAGCATTAATATTTGTATACATTAAAATGAATAAATAAATTCATTTTTCTTTTATTAATTTCACGTGTTATATATACACATTCCATAGAATGAAAAAATCCAACATCAAACAAATGTTCTTCGATTTATTGAATATTGACACAAGAAAAAACATGAGTAAATACTTCTGAAAATAAAAGAAGTATTTGTTTTTTCTTCTCTTGTAGAGTTTTGTCACTATGAAACATTATATGTTTCTATCCAATAGTACGACGATAAGAATTGAAAAAATAAATAACACAAGACAAACATCATACATTTATTCATCAAAAATTTCTGAACACCAGAGAATATGTTATAAGTGAAAGATAAACAATTGATTTTGAAAAAAAGAAGGAGTTATTGAGCGATGAAATCGGTCACTCTAGAAACTAAATTTGTTATTTCTTCGATAGTCAACTCAGCTGTCAGGGATCGATTATCGTTCGATTCACATTAGTGGAGTTTATTTTGCCTATGCGCAGCTACTTCAAAACTCGATATGATCAATCTTCTAAAGCACTCTGCTATGCAGTATTTATATGAAAAGTTTGGGTACCTTTTTTTCAGCTCCTTTAATTTGACTTGTATATCAAATGAAATCTCTTTCTTTCCTCTATCGAATAGTGTACATTAATATCTTACACAGATATAATTTTCCATACCAGAGCAGATCTGACCATCTTATATTTAGATCGAAACGAATCGACATTCGGTAGATACTTTCACAGCCATAATACAGTTTTCAAAGTTTTACTTTATTGTTCAGTTTCTTCCATAAATAGCAATAAGAAGAAAGAGATGATCTAAAATTCTACAAAGAAACAAGTGAATCGAGTGACTACGGATTCACTTGGTGTATTTCTGCTTTGAAAATCCGATTAATTGCCTAAGTCTTTATAGGCTTGTTGCTGATGAGATTGAAATAGAACACAGTGTTGATGCCAAAACTTCATACTTGTGGATACATACACAAACGCTTTTTTTTCAATGACGATAATACACGTTCACCTTTTTGATGATGCATTTTCCTCTTCATATATTCAATCACTTCGTCATATGATTCCTCATCATCTGTAGATGACTTGTAATTAAAACCGAATTCTCTTAGTAAAACAGTATTGATTTTCACTCATATAATCTATTCCCAAGTACAATAACTTGTTCAATCACGATCGAACCGGTTTTTCATTCTCGTACTTTATATATACAATCATTTGAAGGTATAAAAATATATTGAAATAACCAGATCTTCTTAATTGCCAGGTATTCAATCCAGTTCCATAACATTAGCATACATAAGTATGACAAAATATTGTTCATCGACGTAACACTGTGATGGATCAGAGAACTGACGTTTTGAACGGAAATAAAAGTTGTTGAAAGATTTTGTATCACATATAGATTGATTCAGTTTTTTATGCTGATTTCAAGTATATCATTTCGTTCGATAGGCAGCTTTGCCATTCTGATCAAAGTTGATGAAATATTAGTAAAAAAAAACGGAAGGGGGGGGGGGGAATTATTAGCACTCATGCAAATTGAACATTTGACTAAAGTGTCCTGCATACAAGCTTAACGTAACACAATAGTGTCATTTTGTAGAACTTAGAAAGATCTATCGAATAATGGTTAGTTCCATATGGACCGTTACTGTTACAGCTCAACAGGAGGGAAGTTTTGTCATGGATATTCTCACATTATACATAAAAAGAGAACCGTGCTATCTAAAAGAAAAGGAAAAGAACAATATTTTTATCCTAATCACATATGCCATTCAATAGAGAAAAGAAAGAGCTTTCATTTGGTATATACGCTAAATTAAAGAACTTGAGAAAGTAGATAAAGTTTCTATGTAAAAAAAACTGTATAAAGGAACACTGTAAGAAATTGATAATATAGTTTTGAAGCAACTGTGCACAGCGGGAATGAAAATAAATGATCTAATTTCAATAGCAATCTACTTGAGACGTCTAAAGGGACTAATGGAAAAATAGAGTAAAATTCAGTTTTGAGAAGGAACCAATGTCATTGGTTAACAAATTTCTCTCTATTATTATTATTATTATTGATCAGAAAAACATAAATCTATGAAAGGAAAAGAGAACTATAAATTTTCTTTAACCCTTTACGGCCGGCTACCAGAAGATAGCAAGCAAAAAATTCTCCTTCTATATATTCTTTGTCTCTTAGATGTGGAGATTACCGAAATCCATCTTGTAGTTAAAAGAACTGATACTGAGCCGAATGTCAACATGTTGCCTTTTGGCAACAACCGGCCGCAAGGGTACAAAAAGTTGGGAAAAGTGAATTATTTTACCTCGATGGAAGTCCAATAATTTGCTGTTGGTTTTAGTCCAGATTGTCAAAAAAAGCATACTTTGTTTATCTGCCTACCTCTTAAAGCCTCAATGTGCAATATATTGCCAAAATACTCAAAAACTTTCTGAAATAGTGCAAATTTCACCTATTTTCCCTATGGAAGCCCATGAATTTAGTAAGATTTTAACAAGACTAGTAATGTTTTATAGTAGTCTGAATAGGAATACTATGATGTACTGTAAATCTTGTTAGAATCTCGCTGAATTTGTGAGCTTGTCTGGAGAAAATAGGTGCAATGTGCACTATCTCGGAAAGTTTTTGAGCATTATGGGTATATATCGCACATTGAGGCTGTAAGAGGTGGGCAGATAAACGAAGTATGCTTTTGTTTGATAATCTGGACTAAAACTAACAGCAAATTATTGGACTTCCATCGAGGAAAAATAATTCAATATTCCCAACTTTTTGTACCCTTGCGGCCGGATGTTGCCAAAAGGCAACATTCTTGTACTCTATTCTTCGAGTAAACTGAATGATTTATTTTATTGATATAATAGATAATGGATCTGGAGAGGAAAGTTAACCACTAGTTACTTCTCGCATCGAGTGCTCGCACAAATGGAAAACAGATCATTTCGACTCGAGGGCTGTTTCGGGTGTTGGCGGGAGAATTCATCCCTCTCGTCAATAATAGCTTTCTCCTTTCTTGAAAAGGCATAGGTTTGCCCTAAAATGCACATAATTAATTATCAAATCGCTTAAAGAACTATATCTCATCACTTTAAGATAAATCCTAAGATAATATTGGCAAAATGTTGCCATTTGGCAACATCCGGCCGTAAAGGGTTAAACAAATATTTTCTCAAGTTTTATAAAATAGGTTTTTTCTTTTTTCTGATTTATTATTCTTCAATGAGAAACATAGAAAAATGTAGAAGATAGATTACGTTATGCAGTATGATAAATCGTAATGAATGATCAGAAATTTTCCATATAAATTACTATACAAGAAGTTACAATACAACAATGAAAACTTCACTGTAATAACAAATTAAAACAGCTATAAACAAGTGAACATTTATGTATAAACGCTATGTATCTGATTAATAATAAAGTAAAAGAAAAACCTTGCTATCAAGTGTATTAACAATTCATCTTTTCTATTAAAAAAAAAGTAGTTTTTTGATTTTTAATTGATGTATTTATATTCGTTCTCTTTAATCATTGGAGTAGTATTTTTCAAAACGATTCTAAAGAATAAAGAAAGTATGTAGTGTAAAAAACTTATTATTTCTTTACCGGCGATGGCGATTTCAAAAGAATCACTAATAAAATCACGACATAAATAGAGACGTGATTTTATTCATATGCTAATAGTGTGGATACAACGACCAGATGTATTTTGCTTTATGAAGAATAGTTTAATTTGTTCGATGACCATTAGAAGAAGCAAGAGACTGTAGCAATATAAAGTCGTACTTTTCTTCTTCAAAACGATAGTTTTGAGAAGACAAGTGCAGTCTATGTTTTTCTGATTTGACTAATAC